GAATCACTGAGATCTGAGCTGAGTCACTTGTCTTGAGCTGTAACACTAAATCCTGTGATCCAGTCTCCCCGGGGGGCGCTATCCTTCCGTCATCGACTCACGGAAATCCAGCTTCAGCCGTCCCACACCTCTCCTCGTGACCCGGCAGCTGATGGGTCCCGAACTTAGAGAGAGAGTGCATGGGTGAAATTGCGGCGGAACTCGATGGGGCCAGCCCCGGTAGCAGGTGGAGAAGCAGGGACCTGCCAGCAATGCGGAGCAGAGGAGCCGCAGAACCCGCTGCTTCCCAGGTACACGCAGGAGACCGGCGCTACGCCCAGCAGCTGGCGCCCTGAGATCCCCACCCGCCCATAGTAAGTGTCCAAGTAGGTATAATAAGGTGGGACCTGATGAATTTAAGCAATCATGCACAGAAAGAGGGACTGTGACCCATCCATTAAAAGTTCACTTTTTTATATTATTGAACTTTATGTACAAAATCATTTGATTTCAAATACACATTTATTGTAAAAACATTCTTTTAAACTGAATTTTTTACACCTGTTGTACTATTCAAATGCTTTAAAAAGTTCATTTTAAAAAGTAAACTAATAGAAGCCCAATGTATTCAGATTCTGCAATTTTATAAAAGTCAGAAATCTGAGTTCCCATGGGAAAAGTTATGATTTTTTAATGTTGATAATCTCCATTAGCCCCATCCAAAAATAAATCATGGATTGAAGTCCCCCCATTACTATGTTTGGTAACATCTAACCATGAAAGAAGTTTAAAAACATATAGTCTAATCCTGAACAAGAAGAGGAAAGATATACTGTGGGACACCCTACAGCAGTCTTTGAAGTAGATATGAAAATCATATATTTTAATTGGATTTGTTATTATTTAAACATATAGCTATCATCTAGTGAATAAGGAAATGATACCTATAAGGTTTGTATAACCTGTCTAAGTTTATAGAAAATAAAACTGTAGTATGCAAATATAGGAGGTCATGATGCCAAAGCTGGGGTTCTTCTATTCTCCGAATAGGTTCAAGTCTAAAAGGGGAGGCAGAAGGTAAGGATGTGATCACACAGTTAGGGAATTCTGTAAGGCCCTTAGCTGGAGTCTCCTCTCCCAACCAAGGATAATAGTTTTACTGTATTCAATGACTAGGTTCTAGCTAGTGAAATATTAAAGAGAGAGAAGAGCTGTGTACCTATCCCTGATCTTTGAAGACACATTCCACAAAAGATTTTCAATGTCCTTTTCCTGTCTACACTAAAGGTAAGGAAGAAGAGTGATTTAGAAATGCTCAGGATAAAAATGAAAGAACAAGAGTTTGGTAGAGTCCTAAAATACTAACTAGAAACAGCCTACCAATTAAAACAAACAAATAAAAAACTTTTAAGGCATTATAAGAAAGAAACAACAACAAAAATCTATCAAATTAAACTAAACAACTAAGATTTAGGGTTCATGCTTACTAGACAGAAATATTCCTAACATAATATTTCTTTTTAGCATATATTTTAATGGAATTTTTGTGCCTTTCCTATAAAACATCTTAATCATCATTATACCTCTCCATCCACACCCCTTATAGCCCCTCTACCATATTTCATGCATTCTGTCACATATGTTAAGGCCTATCCAGTCAAGCTAGTGTACCCAGATATCCCTCAGTGCAAGTTCATTCACTGGAACCTGATCAGCCTTATTAAAGTCACTCCTTTAAAGAAGATCAACTCTCCCTCACCCAGCAGTAATCGGCTGGCACAATATTTCTTATTCATTCCACTCAATAAAATGTTTATTGATTAATAATATGTATGTGCTTATCCTAAGACCGCTTATATTTTCCTTTTAAATTAAATAGTCCATAAATGTTTAGCCTATTCTAACTTGGCATGATAGGCCTTAACACAAATGGCAGGATGCGTGAATTCCCATGGGGGGAGGGGCTACAGAAGGGTGCCAATGGGGAAGGGGGTATAAATATTACTTAGATGTTCTATTTGAAATTCACAAAAATTCAATAAAAATTTTAAGAAAAACTTTAACCTATTAAACTCCTTACAGTTTTTTTCCACCTAAATTTGTTTTTTAAATAATTGTAGCATCTGCACATTCACTCTGATGAAAAGTGAAAGAAATATGAATACTGCCCTTTCACAAAAAGGGAGAGGTGAAATTTGACATGAGTTAACTGAATATACACATACATTGTTCTATAATGGAAATTAACCTTGCATTACAATATGAGTTGAAGAAAATACTCTGTAATGATATCAATAATGTATTTGCATTATGTCCTAAATATAAAGATCATTTGATCAGCAGTCTTTTCATATAATGCCATTTCACTGTCACTCTAACTTGTTATCCAGTCACTTCAGGATTTCAAAATTGTGTTTTCCAAGAGAAATGTACCTGCTACTACAAATCAGTGAAGAATAAAGATTAATCCTTCACTTTTAATTTCCTGAGACTCATGAAGAAAAAGCAAAAGTTATTTCTGAAACACTAGCTACAATACAACTTTAGGACCAAATCTAACCCTTCTAGAGAGATATTGATCTGTCATAAAGTTTTACTTCCTCTGAAATAACTGAAGGTCTCCCCACACTGAGAGTCAACATCTGGCTTGTATACAAAACTGAAGTTGTGGTTTAACCTTATACAAAGTACTTAACCCCCACTTACTTTTTTATCTCCAGAAAAGTACTTCCTATCTTTAGGATTATTGTAGTAATTAGAAATAATGGATTTAAAGTTCTCAGCCTGTTTATGTTAGGTGTGTAAAAGTGGTAACTATTAATATTAATTCAAGTAAAAATAGAACATTAGTTAGCAATGTTTTACTTTATTAAAAGTGTATGAATTTTAAAAAAAAAGCAGTTTCTTTGGTAAAAGGGCATGAATTCAGGTCAACGTCAAACCTTAAAACAAAACACATAACTAATGTTATTATTAAAATTAGAAAATCAGCTGACCACACAAAGCAGACTACTAAGATATTGACTCTGAAGGAAACTTCCTGATTGGGACAGAACCAGCAAAGAATTATCTAGCACTAGTCATTTTATAGTGTCAGACATCCACCACACCTTAGAAGCCTAGATATAGAGAAAATACAAAAATTAAAAATAATGAAAACTGTCATGGTAGTCTCCATTCTTTCATGAGTCTTCTCTTACAATTGTTGACATCCTTAATAACAACTTTGTAGTACATTAATCAATCTACTAAGAAGTATTCACTGCCTCCAAGGACTCCCACATTGTAGGAAAAGGCAAGAGAGTTAAAGATGTGGGCAATAATAGGTGGGAGGTCAATGAGGAATGCTGAAGGCATCACTGGAGTTAAAGAAAACTGCTGAGTGAATGGGAACGTGGAACCAGACTAGGAAAAGAACTCAGAATATTCTGGGGAGAGACCTTTGATGGAGAAGGTAGTAGTCACAGTTGGGTGGTACTTTCTCACTCTAGGAAAGAGAGACATAACTGTCCTCTCAATAAATCAGACACATAGGCCATAAAGCACTATATGTTGTACATAAGCCAATCTTTCACAGAAAGATCAGAAGCAAAGCCAAGCTACCATAAGAGCAATCCATGGAACAATTAATAAGCAATATTCAGCAGAAGTATACTTCTAAAATGTGAAAATCCTATTTGTTAGATATAGACTATACAATAGTTATATCTAAAATACAGAAACGAAGATAGACTCACTGTGTTTAGCAACACAAGAAAGTAACTGGAATGTCATGACAACCTTTTGAGGACAAAACGAAAGGAAGCTCTCAAAATGAACATTCTAATTTTTTCAATATTTTTGTAAGATTAAGATATAGAATACAATGTTATAGGATATATATATAGAGAGAGGTAGATAGGTGATAGAAGATAGATAGATGATGATAGATAGATGATTGATAGATAGATAGATAGATCATAGATGAAGATTAGATGATAAATGATGGATAAATAGATGATAGATAAATAGACATATAGATAGATAGATGATGATAGATAGATAGATAGATGATAGATAGATAGATGATGATAGATAAATAGATAGATAGATGATAGATAGATAGATAGAGATAGATGAT